CAGGCTGTTCTTCTGACATAAGGATAATTTTTTTTTTTTTTTTAACAGGGGTTATTGTTGATTACAAAGTACTGGTAGTGATTTTTCTGTTAAATTTATCAACTCAGTATAACTATATTTTTGTTTTCTTAGCCCTGGTTTCCTGAGGTTTGTGAGGGTTTTGTGTGGCATGTCTTCAGATGAAAGGAAGGCCTTCTTGCAGTTTACCACTGGGTGTTCAACTCTACCCCCAGGTGGACTGGCTAACCTGCATCCCAGGCTCACAGTTGTCCGCAAGGTACAAGCTCCCTAGCTAACGGGGAATCAAAATGGGATTTATTAATAGTTACTTTAGGACTGAAAGAAATATTTAATCTCAGTGGTTGTTATATTTGTTTTGTTTCTGTAGGTTGACGCAACCGATGCAAGCTATCCATCAGTCAATACATGTGTGCATTATCTTAAGTTGCCTGAATATTCTTCTGAAGAGATCATGAGAGAGCGCTTGCTAGCTGCTACAATGGAGAAAGGCTTTCATCTCAATTGAGCTTTGACATGGAATGGGAGACATCAGAGACTTTTGAAATACTAGTGAAGCCTCTTGTGTTTGTGTGCAGAGAAGTATATGATCCTCCACGCTAATGACACTTGCCTTTTTTTCAATCATTAAGGCTTTAAGAACAGGTGGAATAAGTTTGTTAGCTGCTAATGACAAAACAAATTCTTTACCCAGCCAGCAAGTATATAGCACAGAACACTGTGTTGCTTTACAAGGGCTTACGTGACTGGAATAAGGTGGTCCTACTTTGACTGTTCCAAAGAGCAGCTTCTCAGATCTTCAGTGTTCACTGGTAAATTTCTAACAGTGTGTTTGTGTAAAGTTTGTCATTTCATACTCCATACACTACAGTTGCCATCACTGATCCCTGTTTTGCTGGCTTTTAAGCTACTTGGTCAAAAATCCTGCTTCCTTAAAACAGAGAGAGTTAATGAGCATCTCAAGCTTTTTCTTTTTCTTTTCCTTTTCCTTTGTAATGATGCCTGCACTATCAGAGTATTCTAGTGTTCTCTCTTTTGTTTAGCGTATAATCATGCACAACCTTTTTATTTCTTTGAGGTGGGAGTATATTTTTATTTCCTAAATGCCATACTATAAAGATCAAATACTTAAGTGTGTTTAGCTCAAAAATAAAGATATATTAAGGGGGGAAAAACACTGGTCTAGGTGCAAGGCACACTTAAGGCAAGTTTTACTTTTGGTTGTATTTTCTTTGTATATTATAAACATTTATTTAACTTGTTGCAGTTTGAAGTAAAAAATTTCCAAAATGTATGCTCAACAATAATCATTAAAATGTTTGCAGCGTACAAACGTGTGTCATGTGACTATTTCACTACAGTCATCAGACCTAGGAACTAACCAGATACTTTTCATTTTGAATCATTCAGATTCAGTTTTCTGAAATTATTACATAAAGAAATGTGATTTTTCTGGCCAGGTGCAGTGGCTCACGCCTGTAATCCTAGCATTCTGGGAGGCTGAGGCAGGTGGATCACTCAAGGTTAGGAGTTCTAGACCAGCCTGAGCAAGAGCGAGACCCCATTTCTACTAAAAATAGAAATTAATTGGCCAACTAAAAATATATAGAAAAAAAACTAGCCAGGCATGGTGGTGCATGCCTGTAGTCCTAGCTACTCAGGAGGCTGAGGCAGGAGGATCGCCCAGGAGTTTGAGGTTGCTGTGAGCTAGGCTGTCACCACAGCACTCTAGCCCCAGCAACAGAGCAAGACTCTGTCACAAAAAAATAAAAAAGAAAAATGAAGAAATGTCATTTTGTATAGTAAATACACTTGCTAAAATTGGAAGGCTAGAAAAAATACATATTCACACACTTACTTGTGATCCAACTGTTGTGTTCAGTTCTAAAGTATTCTTCAGCTAGAAAAATGTCTAGTTATTTGTGTTAAGTTTTTCAAAACCAGATCTGCTATTTACCATTATATTTGGATGGATGTGTAAGTAAGGATGTAACTATGATCCAAGAAGGATTTTTAAATGTTGTATTAGTGTGAAAAGAAACCTCCAGGATACAGCTGCTTCCCGGTTGTGAAGAAGGGCCTGTATTTCCATTTTGCAAATTCCTATTATTATCATGTCTGTGCATATAGGTGAAAGAAATATCACTAGGTCAAATTTAGCCAAATGGCTTTTTTAAGGAACTAAAAGCATGTTTGAAATTTCCCAGTATTTACCTGTTTAAAAGGTATATTCCCTTTCTACATTAGAAGAGACATCTCCCACTACAGTTAATGATTTGAGTACTGTTTTTATGTGCTGCATGAGAATGTTGTGATTGTGTAATTAGAAGCAACACTTTTTTTCACCTTATTGTCAGCTTCACAGTTCTCTATGAGAATAAAAGTTAAAGCATTCTTCACTCTATGGCCTATGTTGCGATCCAAAAAATAGTGGTGGTGGTGATTTCAATAAAGTCTTGAATGAATGACTAAAACTGTATACTAGTGTTAGAATTAAAATCCAGTTTATGTGTATAGTGTTGCCATTGTCTAAGTCTCTAAAATGTCTATGGATAGTTAGCTTTTACCAAAACTAGCCTGGCACCAGGGTCAGCAAACTATGGCCTACTGCCTGTTTTTGTATGGCCCATGAGCTTAGTATGGTTTTAAATTTTTTTAGATGGTTGGAAAAAAATCAAAAGAATAATATTTTATAATGTGAAAATTATATGAAATTTAAATTTTAGTGTCCATAAATAAAGTTTTATTAGAACACAGCCATGTTCATTCATTTACATACTACTATTGATGGTTGCGTTTGAGCTACAATGGCAGAATGGATTAGTTAGCAGAGAGCATATGGCCTGCAAAGCCAAAAATATTTACTATCTGGCGCTTTATAGAAAAAGCCTACCGAGCCCTGGTCTAGCAAGTTGCTATAGCAGGTATTGAGTTTTATAAAATCAGTAACTTTTTGAAATGTTAGGAGTTTTCAGAAAAAGTCCAAGAACAAAGTATGGCTGGCCAGTCTGAGACATAAATGTTACAAATATGAAAGCACTTAAAGACACAGCCTGTGAGTACAGACAGTGAACATTACAGTTCACTTTGTATGAGTCCAGTGTTAGGAGACATCTACTGGGGTCTCCACATATACTGTTAAGTTCTTAAGTATTTTTTCCCATGATACCTACCTACTATTTTTTTTTAACTGTTACTATTCTCTCAAGATACTAAAATCTGTGCCAAGATGTAATCCAACTACTATTTTGGTGTGACCCAAAAATTAATTTTGTTCACTCCCTTGCTACTTCTGGTGTACCAGTTTCTGCAGTTACCTGAATGTGCTACTGATTAAGTGCCTATCAATTAGGACAATGTTTCCCAACTAATGTGTCTCAGAAAGACCTCCAGAGCACTTTGGTCTGGACTGGGCTTTCCCCAGACCTTGGCTACTTGATTCAAAGGTGGATCTGTACACACATACCACTCATTGTTCCCACAGGTCCGAAGACTTCCCTCTGCCTTGCCAAATGAGTCCAAAACAACTCAGGTTTGCTTTTGGTGTCCACTATTTTCTGGTTGTCTGAGTCTTTATAGATACAAACTTTGAGATATGCAAGTAGATTTTTAGAAAAGGATAAAGAACTTTAAAAAAGCATTCCACTCATTCCGACGTATGAGAGAGAAAAAACAGCACAGTTCTGAATGGTCAGTCTCCCGAATGTCTCTTTATGTCCTCTTAGAGAATAGTGTTGTAGATGAAAGAACTCTTGAGACATTCTATAGAATGGGACAATATCTTAATGTACCAAAAATATATTTCTACTTCCTCCATTGCACCTGACCTCCCACCAGTACATGCACATATACAGTAGACCCCCTTGTCCTCGGGGGATACGATCAAAGACCGACAGTGGATATCTGAAACTAAACCCTATATATACACCATATTTTTTCTATACATAAATATCTATGGTAATTTTTAACTTAATTAGGCACAGTAAGATTAACAATAGCTAACAGAACAATTATAACAATATACTGTAATAAAGGTTATGTGAAAGCTGGGCATGGTGGTGCATGCCTGTAGTCCCAGCTACTGGGGGGAGAGGCTGAGGTGGGAGGATTGTTTGAGCCCAGGAGTTTGAGCGAGCCTGGACAACAGAACAAGATCTTTTCTCTAAAAAAATGTTTCTTATTAAAAAAAAAGTTACATTAATGTGGTATCTCTCTCTCAAAATATATCACCCTTCTTGTGGTCTGTCAATCAAGGTAGTTACTAAGTGATTAATAGGGTAGCATATGCCCTGTATGCATATGCTGGGCAAAGGGATGATTCACCTCCCAGACAGGACAGAGTGAAACAGAGCAGGACAGAACAGGATGGAACGAGATTTTGTCACACTACTCAAGAATGGTGTGCAATTTTAAACTTATGAGTTGCTTATTTCTGGAATTTTTCGTTTAATATTTTCAGACCATGGTTGACTGTAGGTAACTGAAACCATGGAAAGTGAAACCAAAGATAAGGGGAGACTACTGTACATACCTTTACGTAAACCAAGACAGTTCTATATATTCTGTTGACTGGTATCAAAAGCACATAGGTTTTGAGGGGATGCAGGCATTTTGATTCTGTGGTGACCTAGTAGCTTGCTTCAAAACATTCCAGGAGAGGATTCATTTTCTACCAACCTATACAGATATTCTTTTGCATTCTAATTTTAAACTTTGAATTAAAGCAAATTTCATTAATCAGTATGATTTATGATTTCAGTATGATTATTAGACAAACCCTGTAGAATGTGGCATAAAGGATAGTTGTTAGGGTTCTCTTAATGTCTAACCATCTATTATTTGACAGTAATGTTCTCTACAGAGTTAATTACATTATGGCATTGTAAATGCTAAGTGCAACTCTAAAAAGAAAGGCAAATTTTACTAAGACTTTATAAGGAAAAATATACCATTCAGAAAACAATGCTATTCAAAATGCCATGTGTGTTTAAGTCAATTTTGAAATTTTATTGGCTGACAGAAAACTTGCTTCCTACCACCATCCTGCTATTCTTGGATTTAATTTGGAAGCAGAGACCAAAAAGAGTTCCTTAGGTATTCAAAATTTAAAATGGGAAAAATATACTTACAGTTGGAAAATACAACTTGTTTCTCAGTTTAGAGAAAAATTTTCTTTGTACATATTTTTAAATACAGTTTTGTTTTCCATTTAGGAACATGGAAAACACATATTTATAATGTCTTTGGAAGGATACCCCATTCTGCAATTGTGGTCTTCCAGATTCTTCTGGGCTACAGATGTTGAGATGTATTCCATGGTGTTTGAAATCGATGTCTGGTAGAGCCTTCTTTTCAGCTTTCTGACATCTTATCAAGAATTAGTAGAGGGGCAAGAATTCTTGCCCGGTTAGTTTCCACAATGCAGCCATTTAACACCATCTCATCCAAAATGATGTGTACTTTATCTAAGTTAAACATTATCTAGGGTCATATTAAGGAAATTAGTTTTAAAGGTATAAAAAAATGTTAATATTCAGTGAAAAATAACTTGACAGCTTAGCCTGGAATTTTCCCATTGTAAATTAGCCTAAACATGAGGTTTTCTGTACAGAATTCCTGAAATTAAATTTAAAATTGGTGTCCACATTAGAAATTAGAACCTTTATGTACATATATACCCCTAGTTTCACCTTGGTGAAGCTAACAGGATAAGTAGGCATAGAAATGGAACAGCTCCCTTTTTTAGCCAATGACAGGAGTCTATTAAGCGCTAAAGAACAAAGCAATAGCAAATGACATTTGGCAAGAAAATGAACTGAACTCAAGAACAATGTTGTCTTCCCAGGAATAATAATAACAATTTGTTCAATACTCATTTACTAGGCATCATGTTGAATGCTTTACATGTATTTTCAGTCTCTACAACTCTCTGATGTACATGTTACACGTCATCATTTTACCCAGGATCAAACAGACTCAAAGCCATTGTCCACGGTCACATGGCTAGTAAATGCCAGAGCTAGATTTTAAACTTAAAGCTTGAGTTTGATTGCTCTGCTTCTGGGCTTCTCTGCCCCAAAGCAAATGCTTTCACAGCCTTGCACCTTCAGTCATCTCTTCTGTGCCAAACAGACTCAAGTAAAAGTAACTATGAGGAGAAATGAATGAAGAAAGCAAGGTATGACAAAAGTTTTGAATTTTATTTTTTTTTCAGCAGTCTCGCTTTGTTGCCCAGGCTAGAGTGCCGTGGTGTCAGCCTAGCTCACAGCAACCTCGAACTCCTGGGCTCAAGTGATCCTCCTACCTCAGCCTCCTGAGTAGCTGGGACTACAGGCATGTGCCACTATGCCCAGCTAATTTTTTCTATATATTTTTATTTGGCTAATTTCTATTTTTGGGTAGAGACAGGGTCTCTCTTACTCTTCCTCAGGCTGGTCTCGAACCCCTGACCTTGAGTGATCCTCCCACCTCAGCCTCCCAGAGTGTTAGGATTATAGGTGTGAGCCACTGCACCCGGCCTAAAATTCTGGAATTTTTTTTTGAGACAGAGTCTCACTTTGTTGCCCAGGCTAGAGTGAGTGCCATGGCGTTAGCCTAGTTCATAGCAACCTCAAACTCCTGGGTTCAAGCAATCCTGCTGCCTCAGCCTCCTGAGTAGCTGGGACTATAGGCATGCACCACCATGCCCGGCTAATTTTTTCTCTATATATTAGTTGGCCAATTAATTTTTTTCTATGTATAGTAGAGATGGGGTCTTGCTCTTGCTCAGGCTGGTTTTGAACTCCTGACCTCAAGCAATCTGCCCGCCTCGGCCTCCCAGGGTGCTAGGAAAATTTCTGGATTTTAAGAGAGTACTTCTTACAAATGGGAAGTCATTTGAGAATTATGGGGCCACTTCAGCTTACTGGTGTTCTTATTGGAAAGTAAGTATAGAGCATGGGGAAAGAGGAAAATATTGTCAGCCTGTGATGTTTAGCAAACTAGAAAGAACTAAATACTTCCCTCAAGAACACCTTTAGCTGAATACCTAACTTTTGTGAAAGGAGGAGAACTGGAATGGGATGATGACAATGGTTGAATGTGTCTCAATTCTATATCTGAAGTTTCCATTTCTATTTCAAGAGTATGATCCTAGTCTGCTTAAAAAACAAAAATAGTTGACATTGTTTCAGACATAAAAACTTCATTCAACAAATAGGTGATTAAGTGCACTAGGGGAGTTCATAATTAAGTCTTTGTAAAATGTAAAAACCTGATTGTTTTCAACAATTCCAGATATTCAAAGTCTATATTGTTTTTGCTTGGTGAAATACATCTACAGAGAATGGGACAATGTGTGAATGACTTTTAAGTTTTTATTAGGCTCTTCTGTTAATATCTCATTAAGCTCTGTGCAAATAGTCCTCTAGCAGAATAAACTGTTTTCTAGGGGCCCATGGGAACTGTCCTTAAGCGGCCCAGAAAAAAAAAAAAAAGCTTTACTCTAATATACCTATTTATAATGTCTTCCAATTATATAGATGATTGCTTTGTCCTATGGCCAAACTGGGACTAGAATGTTAGGCCCTTGACTCAAACCTGTTTACCAGACCCAGAAGCCAGAACTTAGAAGCTGAGACAAAGTGGGGACGACAGCCATGTACATGGAAAAGCAGAACTGAGCAGCACAGGTGGCTGCATGAAGAATGGCCTGCAGAACCCCACTGCTGTATTCACTAACACAGTGAAAGCCTAGTGCCTTTGACAATGTCAGCTTCTCCAAGATGATTTTCTTTTAGACAGAAGGAAATCTAATTTTAACCTGTCTGAATTGGTTCAGGGATGAAGCTGCTCTGAGGACTGCTTTGTCTTTGGCAAGTAGATGATCTGCAATTCAGATGTCCCCTTGAGCAACTGCCCAATTGTTTTGAAATTCAGATCAGAATTCACTGCTGAATCATATCAACCACTGACATCCCCACATTGCAAGGACAAGGTGCTCTGGCAAGCCTGAATTTCCCAACATTCTGGAAACATGAGTTGCTCAGTGAGGTCATTCTGTACTGTGAGCATGTGACTGCCTGTCTGTATCTGGCTCAGACCCTAATAATCATGCAGCTTTCTGGCACTATATGGGGAAACCACAGACCAAATCCATTATGAGGCAAAGGCCCGAAAACAGATTTCTCCCCAGAATCACGTGACTCCTTTAAAATAGGAATCCAGTTGTTGTTCACATCTTGATTTGGTTTATAAGCAATGTGTGTGCATACTGATAAAGCCAAGAGTAATGGCATTTGGGCCATCTGCCAGGTGAGCAGGGACCAAAATGACCCTATAAGCTAAGCCTCATGGCAATAAACAGACAAACACATTTCAACCCTGACATTTAGAATACAAGGAAGCAAGAAAAGCCCAGCAAGAAAGGTATATTCATGTAGTGAGCTGGGAATGACTACTGAAAGGGTCTTCCCTTTAGGTTACACTGAACTGACTGGCTCTAAAGATCCTTAAGGCAACTTGTTTCTCCTCATAGGCCCCCTAAGGTTGGAGCTGACCTGAACTAAAAACAACCTCCCAAAGAGCTGAGTCACTAAAGTCCCACTTTCTCCTAACCTTGAAACCTAAGAGCTTTTCTGAATTTCTGTGCTACGTGAATTGGAGTTGAACTTCATAGGGCCCTATAATATTAGTGCCACTGGAAATCAAGTTTTTAATTAAAGTGATTAACATGTATGGACTAACACTAGAATTTTGATTTTGAATCATAAAATACTTGTCCAATATGGTATTTTAACACCACTGTGGTGGTCTAGCTATCCTTTTATTTATTTATTTTTATTTTAGCGTGTTATGGGGGTACAAGTGTTAAGGTTACATACATTGCCCATGTCCCCCTCCCCCCTAGTTATCCTTTAATAAGTAAGAAAACTGAGCAGCACAGACTCAAATGGAAGCTCAAAAGGAATTACAGGGCAGATTCCAGACTAGAAACTAAAATTTCTAACTCCAGACTTTGGTCTCAGATCCCTTGGGCTTCTCACTTGATTTGTTTTTTTTTTTAAATTCTAGCTAAGCAAAATTCTTTAATAAAATAAGTAGGATGGGAAAACTTACTCTCTTATTATTTATATTTTAATTCAATATCCCATGAAATCAGATAAGCTGCCAAGGGCCACTGTGTTCACATTCCCTACAGCAAATCGCCTACTACTGTACAGAAGATTATCATCATGAAGATTCTCTACAGTTCTGGGGGCATTCTCCTTGTAGGGTAGTCTTCTGTTCACGTTCTGTCTCTTGCTTAATTAGGCCACTGAAAAGGAGGGTAGGCCCATTCAAATTCCAAGAACAGGAAACCCAAGTGTGATTCTACTTAAAGTTTATATAAAATTAAGTTTTATATAATTTTATAAAATTATATAAAATAATTATATAAAATATATAATTCTTATATTTAAAAATTATATAAAATTAAATATGAAAGTCCACACTGGGTCAAATGAGCCTGTCATTTCTCTCAGTTTTTTCCTCTCTGTTGCTTCTCATAACTTGCTGTCACTATCCCTGACTAAAACGGGACCCAGAAACATGGAACAAAAGGAGTGGGTCAAGGCAGAGGGCCCTGGTGGTGAGGAATGGTGGCAGATCAATAGGGCACCTAGGACTCAGAGCACACATTTCAGGGAAAAGGGGAGGTAACTACGGCTAGTGGGAGCACAGAAGCCTGAAAGGCAGAACTGTCTGATCTGTAACATTCACCTCCCCTTCCTGGCGTAATGGCTGACTCCCTGGGGACTGTTCATGTCTGAGACTCTCATCACCCACCCCAGCCCTGCTGGAGCTCTCATGACGGACAAGGCCCTGGTCCCCTTATCCCTCCGTGCCCACCCTTCCCAAAGATGGCTGGCTGCACACACTCCCTCAGGCCTACAAGCCAGTTCTCACCCCTTTGTAACTAGGCTTTCAATTTACATATTTTCAAAAGGAAAAAAAGATGTTCAGAAATTTCCGAATGTGAACTCCACTTCCAAAGAGCATGTTCTTATCGGAACATTCACAGATACTCTCTTCAAGACTTTCCATCCTTTCTGACTCCTCCAACCAAAGATAGGTTTCTCTAAAACTTGTCCCCTCATTCACAAAAAGCTTACAACACCAAAACACCATGGGGACAGACACTTTATAAAATATTTTATTAGAGACTAAATTGCCACAATCTACTCCAGATGATTAATAATTTTTTGAACATGTGAAATTTAATCCACCTAATTTATAACCCTAGAGCCAAGGGCCCTGGAAACCTAGAGACTAGTACAAGCTCTGCCCCGAAATAACTCTATAGACTGGGACGTGTCAGAGAGCCTCTCTAGTCCTCAGCTTCTTTATTTACAAAGTGAGGTTTTAACCTGATGATTGCGTAAATGTTTCTTCCAACTCCAAAGTACTTGACTCCTGTGACTGTAAATGTAACCTGATGAAGCAGACAAAAACATGCACCG